AAAAAAAAAAACGGTTTCGTACTGTTACTAAAACTGTTTTAGCCCCACCTATGCTGGACAGAAGAATCCAGGAAATGGATGTGGTTGTTGGCGATTTTGTTATCTTGACATGTAAAGTTGTCAGTGGCACTGGGAAGCTAACAGTCAAATGGATTATTGATGGGCGTGAAGTGGAAAATGGACAAATCAGCCCCACTGTTTTGGTAATCTTAAAGACTTGATATGCATGCTAAGATGAATGAAATTTAAGACCGCTGCTTCTGGTTTCATAAAGCCAGTGGATGGTGCGTGGTGCTGCTTCTCTATTCCGAACTGATTAAAGGTAGACGATCGGCGGGTTGAAATTCGAAATGCACGTTTGAGTGATTCTGGAAATTACGTATGCGTAGTGGAAAATGAAGCAGGTGAAGCGAGAAAAACATTCGACCTTGCTGTTCTTGGTAACATTTTGTTTTTGAAGAAAAAAAATTGAATTCTTTTCTGAGAGGCCATAAAATTCTTTCCAGAAATATTATTCATTCAAATTGAATTTCTGAGTGTGGACATGAAAACGACTCAGAAGATTTGAAATTTTATTTGAGGTGTAGTAAGTGACTGTAAAATTTTGAAGATTCCATCGCTGTCTGAGAAGGCTGTCTTCACCGCAGAAATACAAGCTGAAGCAGTTTATGAACAAGTTATTTTTGAAAAATTTTATACAAATCTGTTTTAAGAGCGACCTCGTTTCCTGGATGTAACGAACTTAAGCCCTTCAATCATTGTTGGAAGACCGCTTGTTCTGGACTGTTCAGTAACCGGCACCCCGAAACCAACAGTTATCTGGACAAAGGTTAGCATCTATCAGCTCAGTTACTGTTTCTCTTTTTTTTTTACATGTGGGAAATCTTTACAGTGTTTGGCTGAAACTGAGTGGTACTCAGCAGATTTCTGTAAAATGAATAAGGAATTGGATTGCGAAAGGCGGAGGGATGAGGGCAAATAGAAGGAGGAAAGCATGTGAGATTTGAAGAAAGGCATGAGGGAGATCATTAGTCTAAAAGAGTGTATTGCAAAAACACGGAACATTTATTTTCCATTTCTGGTTAATCGTAGCCTTGAAATGAAACATATTCATTAGTTACCATGCGTCTTTTCCTCATTTTATCATATTCTCTCACTCTTCAACATAATTTTGCTCGATCATCCATTCTAATCAGTTCAACAGTGATTATGACACTGCAATTTGAAATTAAAATGCAGAATCGGAAATATGGAATAATTTGAAATTAAAAGCACAGAAATGCATTTTTACAGCAATGACCAGTTTTTTAAATCAAATAACATTCTGTAACATAAGGCAACAGCAGTAGGTGGAAGAGTAGTGAAATGAGTAGTAAGTAAAGTGATGGATGTAGGGAAAGACCACGACATACACCAAACCGATTGCATTTCTTGCCCCCAGCACAGTCGAGGCCCACACGCCAGATTGGCCTATTTTGCACCGATGCTAAATTGAATCGACGATATGCATTTTGACAGCGACGCGATGTCGGCTTCTGAAATTTTACTTTCCTGTGAATGTTTTTGCAAAACAGCGAGTAGCTCCTTCCGCTTTCTCACTTGTAGCAGGGTCCTAGTAACATACTTTAGTCATTCCCGATTGTCCGGACAGTCTTGGTACTCTTGATAATTTTAGCTTAATAACTGCCCAGCATGTTGAAAAATCTTTCTGTCGCTATTTGATTAGCGTAAGATATTAAACACTCGTTTAATCATTAGTTTTCATAACTGTATGTGGTATGTCCGAAACGAAGTTAGAACTCCAAACAGGTGCTCTACTAACATGACTAGGCTTGCAAATCTGGCCATAGAGTAAGTTTATTGCAGTTAGTTTGCGGGGGAAGTCTTGCCCCTTAAATGTTTGAATTTCTGATTGTCCTAGAGCGAGCACTTTTCGACATTGCCGTTTGAAAAGTGCAAAAATAGGCACTTGCCACATTAAAATCATAGCAACAGAGTTGACAGCGATCGTCGGATGAAAATCCGGTATCCGGATCGATCATTGGGCAATCGCACACCATTAAATGAGGGCTGATACGAGCACATGGGTTTTCGCACATATCATCTACGCATATTTTTTCCATCCTATAAGCAGAACATTGAGTTTAGCAGAACTTTAGATGTTCGCTTTGCCTTGCGGGCTATTATGTTTTGAATTTTTGCGAGGAGCCGAAATTTACTTTTCTCCGAGATTCCGGGCTGCTGTCCACTTCATCCAGATTACAAAATTGGTGCTGTTTAGAGGAGGTTAAGAATTAAGTTTTGTGGTATTGGTTTTTGAGAATAAAGGCGCGCGTGCGCGTATGTCGATCAGGCGTTGGATGCTAAAGGCCAAGACCCTGGCATAGTGACTTGACGTGCGGCTGCATCCCAGTAACGCAACTTACATCTTATTCTTACACCATTTCTAAGCGATCCTTGTAGTCATGGAAATCCTGATACTTAATTTAGACGTACTGAAAGTTCAGTAAATAGTGACGAATGCAGTGGGTTTATTCCTAAAATACTGGATTTTCTGGCAGTGATTCGGAGAATTTCTCAGATATAAAGCCATTTATTTGGCGTACCTTAGACGTAAAATGAATGCACTGATTTTACTGGACTAGTTACCACTGCTGATAGTACGATAGGTTTATAACACATTTCTGCTCAGACGTACATTTAGTCTTTGAATAAAAACCAAAGCTGAAAAGCAGAAGAAATTAAGCCTAAAGATTTGTCCTATTCATTTTCCGATATCTCGAATAATTCTCTTTGGAATTACCAATTATCTGCCTTTCAGACTGCTGGTGGCTTTCCGGAGATTTCGTGAAACTAATGGGGGAGAGGGTTCAAATCTTTAATATTTTTCATCAAAATAAATTTAGAATCAGACTTTTTTTCGTAGAGGTAGGTCGAACACACAAGTGCTCTTCAACGATAGCAACAAAACAGAATAACATCCTGAGAGCCATATCAGACCTTAACTCGAAAAAAAGCGGCTGATGAAAAAAACCTACTTCCGGTCGCAGTACTGTCCGGGTTTTTTATCGTGGCACACGCTATTTGAGCATTTACCCTGAAGGCACAGCCTAGCCGGGTCCGTGTCATCGCAAGCTAGGCCCTCCAGTTCGGCCCCACTTTGTCGACAACGTGCACATGCTTCGCGCTCCCACCTTTCACCGTTATCCCTGCAAGTTTACTTATTTTCGTCAAGTTTAAATTGCCAAGCAAAAGGAACATAACTGAAAACAGCATGAATTATGTTTAAATTTATGTGGAAGTTAATACAATTCGTTTAATGCGATTAATACAATTCGTTTCATATATTATGTAGCATAACTAATCAGTAAATATCATGGCGTATCTCTAGGATTTGTTGTTTATATTACAGCTCAGTAACATTATCAACACCTGCACCGATTATCGGGAACTGATATTTTTGATATTTCAAGCTTTTTAATGAGATTGTAAATTGATACGGGCGGGGAAGGGGGGGGGGGGGGGGGGGGGGGGG